CTTCTCCCTCTCTCCCTCCTTCCCTTTCTTAACTTTCTTTTTTCTTCCTCACTCAAAAAATATTAAAGGGAGTAGAACTTAAATGCGTTCTTATACCTGCAGACATAGTTTGATAGTGGAACATTTTCCTTTTACCTACCTCCTAAACTATTCTTGCCATGAGAAAACTGCTTATTGCTAATTAGGTTAAGGATTATTTATTAATGATTAATTTCATTGTTAAAATACCTAGTATAACAACTTTATAACTTTTTTTCAGTTTTAATAAACCCTTTTCCACATGCAGTCTCAGATGTGTCTCTTGACCACTTGATACCTTATTTCCTGACCAGGGCATGGGCTGAGCTTTTCTTCTGGTATATGTGTCCATCGTGGCTGGAGGAGACAGAAGCTGCAGGGACTCAAAACCACAGTTCTGAAGCTGTGTCATGAAGCTTATCTGACAGCAAATTTGGGGTTATACATAAGTTCTGGATGCTACTATGCTTGAGTTATTGCTATGTGAGTCATGGGTGTATGGAAATGCTGGTTTTGAATGGTGTAAGTATATAGCAGTGGTTCTTATCTGGGGCACCTTTTGTCTCCTAGGAGATATTTAGAAATGCAGCAGCCAAGCTGACTGTCACAGCTGAGAGAGGAGATTGTTGCCTGTATCTAGTAAGCAGAAGTCAGGGCTGCTGCTGAGTATTCTATAATGCACAGAAGCCCCACAAGAATTACGTAGCCCAAATAGTAGTAGTTTCAAGGTTGAGAAATCCTAGAATATAAGCATTCATACAGTGAATCATGTGATAAAATAATTATATATGCTCAATCAGAACTGTGGGGTTGGTGTTTGACCGCATAACTGGGCACTACAGTCTTGCAAATTAGCACATAAAATTTACTCACCATTATAATCACACTTTAAAATATATTTAAGACAATAGTGGGGGCTGGAGAGGTGGCTCAGTGGTTAAGAGCACTAGCTGCACTTGCAGAGGACTTAGGTTCAGTTCCCAGCACCCATATGGCAGGTAGCAACTGTCTATAACTCAAGTTCTAAGAGATTCTATACCTTCTTCTGAACTCCGTGGGACTTGCACAACACAGGTGCCCTTACATACATGTAGGCAATACATCTTACACATAAAAATAAATAAAAATTAAAAAGACAATAGTGTTTCTATTCTATAATATAATTCAGTGTTAAATTAATAATTAGTGATTATACCTTTTGCATTTTTTCTTGAAATAAAATTCAATTGTTTTAATTTGGAAAAAAAGCATATGGTGTTGAGAGAAAGAGACGTCTGTAATCAGTCTTTGATGAAGAGTTACCATTGACTTTGATGATAATATTGGTCAGAAAACATACTGTGCTTAGTGGGGCTGGGAGACTCTTCTAGACGGGCTCCTGCTGCCTCCTTTGGTCTTCAGTGTTGGTATCATCTTCCATGCCTGTACAGTCACTCAAATTACGTATCTCTGGAGTTTCATCGACTCCCGTCCCCTTTGCCTTACTGCAATTATGGATGATCAATTCTGCATAATCCTGTGCTTTCTCATAATAATGACCTACTCTGACTTCTGAGGCCACTTATTGCTAACTCTGTCCAGGCCTTCCTCCTGGTCTGTTGTGGCTTTAACAATAGCATCCTGGCCACTCTGCCTTACCTCACTGCTGCTTCAGCTAAATTCATTTGGCACTCCACAATACTCGTCACTTCTTATTCATCCATTTCTTTGGTGAAGGAATGTGTACTGAGCACATACTATCGGCTAGTTACAATGCTAGGAACTGTGAGCATTCACTGAATTAGATTTTTCCAAGCCTCTGCATTACTTACAGAGCAAACCCTTTGCTTCTAACAAAACACACAAGCCTGTAAAACCTGCTTCAGACCTAACATTTCAGTGCATAGTTCTACTCTAACTTAATGTACTTAACATCAGACACATTGAACACATTACTTTTCCTCAGTCTGGGTCACATACTATCAACCATTGAGTATTTTGCATATGCTCTCTACTTGAGCATCTTTTCTATTTTTGTTTAGGGTACTCTCATTCATCCTGTGCAACTTAGCTTAGTAGTTAGAGAAGTGCCTTGCACATGGAAAAGACTCAACAAATAAGTAACGAACTGGTTTCACCTCTTTGCGAAACTTCCCTAGCACAGGTCAACAGGCATATCTCCATGGCCGGTGTATGGATTTCTAAAAAAAACCCCATTGTATATTCTAGCTGTGAACCCCTTGAGGACAAGGTTTGTATCTTATATCTCTTGGGACTGCTAGGCTCTGTATCACACTAGATATAAAGTGGACCCTTATGATTTGAAGTGCTCTATTATGTCCCATTAATTTCTTGGAGCTTTGGAACCCTTGTTTCTTCATACTGGAAATGACATGTATTGTTTGTTGTTTTGAATCGCACAGAATGTGATGCTAGTCTCAAATGGGCCTGGTCCCTTCTGCAGTACTTTCAATGCACAGGATCTGAAGCGTGAGACTGGGCATTAGAGTCCCTTCTCTATCACTTAATCGCTGTGTGAAATTGGGATGAAAGTGAACTAGTCTTCGGGCCTGTTTCTTCTTCTGTAAGACAGGCATAATGCTATCTGCCCTCTTTTGTCTGTGGTTTGGTCATGAGGATCAAAGAAGAGAGAGTACATATTCCAAAGTGCTGCTTACCTTCTAAAGGCTTCTTAAAGTTTTCACATCTCTTTCTATTCAAAATACAGCATTGCGAGTTGTAACCCCTCCCTCACCCCTGCAAGTGTTTCCTTACTCCTCCAAAGACTAACTTCTGGAAAGGGTCAGTTGTGCATACTGCATTCACTCTCAATCTTCTATCCCCGATGCCCTTTTTCAGCCCTGCCAAACTACTGGAGACTCATTCATCACCATCATTCCCTCATGGCAAGAACCCATGGATACCATTCTGCCCTTTTCTTATTTGATCTGTTCCTACCATCTTCTCCCTGGGACAGTCTCAGCACTGAGGCTAGAGTGACCTTCTCAAAATAGGTTCTGACGTTATCCCATTATTAACCAAATCCTACAATGACTCCTACAGGATAAAATGCCAAGCCCACCATCCTCTGATCAGTGCCTCCAACTCCTCAGCCTCCCCAAATGTTGCTGTTCTTATAAGATGCACTTTGCTCATACAAAATGATTCCTGTTTTGAGAAAGTGATACACGCCACCAAAAAGACAGCTCAGTACAACCTAGTCGTCGCTTAAGATTGGTCCAAAATGTCACTTATTCTAGGAGACATTTCTTCATCCAGCTTTACCCCTCCTTTTTCAGGCAGAAGTAGATCCCACCATCTCATTGCTCTCCAAATTTCTTGACCCCATCTTGAGTATAAGTTCTCTCTAGCCCCTAGTTTATCTCCTCTACTAAACAGTGAGCTCCAAGAAACATGTTCTATCTCTTTATGCTTAGTTTCCTGATAAATAGTAAGGAAACTTACTGTTTATTCAAAAGCTTATTGAATAAATAAATGAGTACTCTGTGACATAATTTGTATTTCATTCTTATTCTTCTGTCATATTTTGGACAGCTTTTTGAATTTTGTCATATTTGGTTTTCATTGATATAGAAAAATTCTAGCAAGTGACTCAATTTATGCAGAAGTTACTCTGGGTTGAGATGTGGACATGGCTTTCCTTGGAAAGTCTTTATACTGCAAAAGAGAGTGTATTTGTCTGGGCTCTGTCCCCATGGGTTCTCAGCAACCTCTGAGGACATACTCAGGAGGTCCTGCTCACCTGCCGCTTCCGGCCTTGCTGTTTTCCAGCTGTCGGGAGAGCAGCTTAGCAATGGTAGTGAAGCTGTTGCTCATGCGGAAGATGTCCCTGCTGTGAGGGCCCAGGATGGAGGAGAAGGCATCCGTGAGGCTCTTAATCTCCAGCAGGAGGATATGATGAAACGAATGCTCCATGTTGGCCAGCTGACTCACTAGGTATCTCAGACAGCTCCTGGCTCTCTCCTGCCAAGAACAACAACAACAACAAAAATTGTCTCTATGGTAAATAATATAAAAGTCCTATAACCAGAGGTAACTGAAGTAAGTCCCTTCAAAGAAATATGGGCACTGTTAATAATATAGGCACTACTGAAAACAAAAAATCTGGAAATTCATGGCATGCAATGCATCATAGGGACATATTCCTACCCCCCCCACCCCCCTTGGCTTAAAGTCAGAAGCTTGAAGTGGAAGACCTCTATCATATGCCGGGCCCATCCTAGAAGTTAGGAACACAGCATGAGCACATAAGGACAGAAATCCCTACTGTCATGATGAAGTAGACAGACAATAAACAAAATATCAATGTAAAATGTATAGTGGGTTGGATGAAGAAATGTGTCTCAAAGAAAAAATAGAGCAAGAAACCTGGGGGACCTAATATTAAATAGTGCAGCCACGCACAGCTCAGAGAGAAGGTGACATTCAAACTTAATAAGGTCTTTTAATGAAACCTAGCATGCTCAGTAACCTTAGAAAACAATCACAGTAAATTCATCCTACTTGATACAGGGAGGTAGGAAGACAGAGGATCTGGAACATGTGAGATGTGGCACTTTATTTACTGTTCGTCCTACTAAGAATGTAACTTCAAATTTCATGTAAGTTCCTTAGCTTTACAATCAGATTCTTTTTCAAAATTTTAGAGTATTTCTTTTTTATTATTTATTATTTTTATTTTATGTCTATGCATGTATTGCCTGCATGTAGGTAAGCGCACCCATGTCGTGCAATGCCCACGGAGGACAGAAGAGGCTATCAGATCCCCTGGAAGTGGAGTTACAGACAGTTGTTAGTTTCCATGTGGGTGCTGGGATACAAATGGAGTCTTCTGCAAGAACAGTCAGTGTTCTTAACCGCTGAGCCATTTCTCCAGCCCCCTGAAACAAAGCGGTGGGATCCCCTGGAACTGGAGTTATGGACAGTTGTTAGCTGCCATGTGGGTGCTGGGATTCGAACCCAGGTCTTCTGTAAGAACAACCAGTGTTCTTAACCATTGAGCCTTCTCTACAGCCCCCCCCTTTTTTTTTTTTTAGCATTTTAAAGTCATTCCACAAATATTTAAGTGTCCCTGTGGTTTCATTAAGATTTCCTGGGTTGCACATGTACTAGGTTGGTAGAGCAATTGCTTAGCATGCGTGAGGCCCTGGGATTGCTCCTTCACTCCACCTCCACCCTCCACCCCACACCCCCCAAAATAATCTTCCTCAGCATAAAAATTAGAAAGTTCTTTTCTTAGACACATTTGTCTTCCTGACCGTGAAGGTGGCCATGTGAATATTTGCTGAAATCAACATCACTCTGAATGATCTTTTGACGGCCAAACCGAGCTGAAGGGAAATTAATCACAGTGCAGGAACAAGAAAACTCCTAACTGCTCAGGACCTGGCATATGAATCCCGGCCAAACTCACATCGTTTGTTCTGAAACCTTGGAGTACATCCAGGTACCTCACAGGGGTAACAGATGTGATTTTGGATGAGAGAGTGTGATGTTAGGACAAGAAGGCAATTCTGATTTCTTTCTCAGTTCCAAGGTATTTTGTCTCTGGGGACCAGTGACTGCATTTTTCTGCTTTCAGTCTTCTCACTGTGAGGTGGGGTCACTGGCACCTCTGTGTCTCAATTGTGGGACAGTCCCTGGCCTGTCACACATAAATTTCTTATTTATTATTAAAATGTTCATAGCTAATCCATGAGAGTAGTTAGGCCAAGTGCCAAGGTTGTCCTTTCTCATGGACTCCTCTGATGCTGTAAGTGAAAATGAGCCCTGACAGCTCACCCAGAAGAAACCAAAGGCAGACTAACTTGCTCAAGGCCACAAAAGTCCCTCTGTCTCTGAAGTGGTCCCCTCACTGGCTATGCTTCGAGCCCCTCCCACCAAGAACCCAAGTCCCCATGCGTTAGTCCACTCCTGTTTTTGTCTCTCATTCATCATCTGGGCTATGTCTTCCTTTATACTTAATTATATTTAATTTACCTCATAAGCATCATAAATACTCTGTAAATACAAAACAGGCTAACAGTTTTCAAGGCTTTTGTTTCCAGGACCACTTTATCCTCTTAAAAATGCTTGAAGGCCCCAAAGAGGTTTTGTTTTTCTGGGCTGTATGTGTTGATATTTATCATGTTGGAAGTTGAAGTATGAAATTAGAAAGAATCATCAATTCATTTAAAAATAACTACGTATTATGTAGCTAGATACATATTTTTAATGAAAGATCACATCCAAATAATAAATTAAGAATTGTGATATTCCTACAAAGTTTTGCAAATCTCTTCAGTAACTGCTCACATGGACAACAACTGAATTCTCACATCTGTTTCTTTGTCTGATGTGTTAAATCTGGCCTCACACAGATATGTAGTTGGGTAAAGGAGGGCTATTTTCAAAATAGTCTTGATAATTATACATATGATATATAAATATGAATATAATTGTGATAATTATGCATGAATAGTATATGAAAAATCAATTAAGTATAGTAGTAACAGTATGTAACATTAATATTTTTGTATCCTATTACATTAAAATCCATTGGTCCATCTTGCACTTTGAATGAATATTTCACTTGTGCTTGCTATTATAACATTAAGCATTGATTTGGCAGAAATATTGTTTCACTGAGTTAAGCTTATCTTCCAAATGTTGATGTGTTTCATTACATATTAAAAATGTTGCATTTGGTGAAGGAGAGAGAGGCTCACAAGCTCCCATCTCTAGCCGAGGAGCTATTGACAATTAATGACTTTTGGGGGAAGGAGAGTCAATTTTCTTTAAGGGTGTCACCCACCCCTGGTAGGTTATCCATGCTCCAGTGCATGGCCTCACATCCATGAACATATGGGTAGCACGAATTGGACTTGGCGAGTTATGAAGAGCATAAAAAGAAGAGGACACAAAGTTGGGAGGGAATGCGGATGGGAGGAGATCGAGGAGTTTCAGGGAGGAGCTGGGGGTGAATATGATCAAAATGCATTGTATGCATGCATGAAATTATCAAATGATGACTATAATATTTTGTTAAAAAGAGAAACAAGTAAAAATAACAGTGAACCCACTACATTTGTTCATACCCCCAATCATCTCATTAAGAAAGCTCTTATACAAGGAAGCCTGCCATGTTCAGAATGGTGGATATAGATTACCCAAATTCTAATTTTCACCAAGAGGTCAAATTTTATCACGGACAACTGATACAGTTGGTACTCTATATCCACGAGTTCTATATCTATGAATCCAACAAACTGCAGATTGAAATATTCTGGGGCAATATCGTTGTCTGTGCTGTACATGTGCAGAGTGATCATGTCATGGTTCCCTAAATATACAGCTTAAAACCTATTTATACATGATGTACATCGTGTGAGGTATTATGAATCATTTAGAGATGAATTAAAGCAAGAGAAGAAAATAAAAAGACAAGAGAAATAAGAGAAGGAAAATGGGTTATATTCAAAATAATGCTTTTTTTCCGTAAAGGAATTTAACAGTCTTGGATTTTGAGGTCCACAGTATAGTCCCCCTGCTTTTGCTGTAAAAAAATACCCAACAAGAAGAAACTTAATGGAGGAAAGGTTTATTTCAGCTTACAGTTCAAGAAGATACCATCCATATACTCACATACAGTCTCACACATTGCACAGGCAGTCAAGAAATAGAGAAATGGTAAGAAGCAGGGCCAGGTTACAAATCTGAAGGTCTGAACCCAGGCATCCACTTCCTCTAGCCTAGGCCCCACCTGACCACCCCCACTCCCAGCAGAGGGCCAGAGCCTATGGGGGACATTTCACATTCAAACCACAGCACAGGGTGATACTAGAACCAGCCCTTTTCAGGTCTCAAGGGATAACTGCAGTAACATCAGTACTTTGCTTAAAGTGAAAAGCTCACTTCATTCCTTTTTCCAGATAACATTTACCAGCTAGTTCAAACTCAACAACCATAGGTTGTTTGTCAATCATTATCAATCATTATCTCAAGAAAAAAGTATTCTGTGAAAAGAAGTAGTTAGCTGAGCTGGTGCGACCAAAGTCTGAGTTTTCTTAAGATAGCTCCTGTATTCCTGTATTTAAATATGCATCAGAAATACTGAGCCTATACACATTTCTCATTAACCTCACTGACTATAAAAAATACATGTACTCAGTCTTAAGATTTAATAAAATTAGTTATTTCCACTGCTTCATCAAGCTAAATGAGTCCTCAGGGTGGGAAGGTGGGACTGGAAAAACGAGAGTAGTTTTTGGCCTCCAAGAACCTCTGGAGTATATCTGGAGACGATTTTGGTTGTCATAGCTGTGGGTATGGGAGGATGGATTGGCAGATCCAGTGGGAAGAGGCCAGAGATACTGCCAAGCATACAATGCATAGGACAGCTCCCAGCTAAGGATCATCTAACCAAAGTGCTAATGGTGTCAGGCTGAGAAATTCTGAGTTAAATGAAAACTGGCTTTTTCCTGGTCCTGTAAACGACTGTGAATACAGTTTGGTGCCAGTGTCCTGATTTGAGGTAATCATTAGATGTTTTACAAACTATTGTTTTGCTCTCTTGATGTAAATGTCAACCTACTAGACATGATAAACAATGTCTTATTACTGCACTATCATGAAAATAACTGCCATTCTAGGTTCCTTGAAAGGACCTAAGAAGTAATGAATCATGTTGAAAATTGATGAACTAGTATCAGGCATGGCAAACACTTTTTACAAATGAACAAATACCAAATATTTTCAACTTAGTAAGCTATATGGTGTCTCTTGTAGAAAAACAGTTATAAATAATAGTATCTGCCTGAACATGACTGGGTTTCTCTATAGGCAGTAATTTGCTGACCTCTGAACTAGACTGTATATTTGCAAAAGTGCATTGGCCATATTACTTATTTTTAAATTTTTAAAATTTATTTGCTTATTTTTTTTTTAATGTGTATGAATGTTTTGCCTTCAGGTACATAATGTAC